CTTGCCCAAGACAGTCATCAAGGAAGTCACATTGGAGCCATCTTGTCCTCCCCCCTCCACTGAGTAAAACCCAATCAAACAATGTGTGAAAATACAATATGAAAATTGGTTGTGCCTTATCACCTACGGTGTGTGTGTGTGTGTGTGTGTGTGTGTGTGTGTGTGTGTGTAGAGGAAGTGCCTTTTAGGCCTGCTCCACCTTAAAAGCAAAATGTGCACTTTCTGTATGCAGCCCTAGCACGAAGGGGGCCCCATGATCTGTGCAGAGAGTGGGAAAATGTAAACAGATCTCTGGAGAAACCACTTGGCTCAGCAATTTTCTAGCTTGTTGTAATTGGCCTAGCCTAAAAGAATTCTTTGAGCTGTACCTAGGCCAAGGAAAATGCAAAGGCTTCCCTGAAACAGAGGCATTTGGGGTGGATGAGAAGAAAGGGCTCATCTGCAAACTAGACAAACAGACGAGCAAAGTGGACAGGAAGAGGGGCGGGGTGAGGGGAGCAGAGAGGGCGCACAAGGACCATTTTCTCTCGACACATCAGCAGATCTGGCCATGCCAGGCAGGGTAGGCAGATCTAGTAGAAGATCTTGGGCAGCCTGCTCCTACTTCCCCCAAAACTAAGCCATCTTCTTGTCTAGTCTGGCTCCCTATAGGCTTTGTCAGGGCCCTTTCTCTGAACATCAGAGATTGGGGTCCTCTCTGCCAGTCACAGGCTGAAAGACAACTTCCTGTGGACTGATTGTTGCTGGTGCCCAGGGAGTCTCACAAGTCTTCCAGTCTGACACTTAGCATTATTTCCTCTCCTTTTTCTTGGTTCTCTGTTAGTACTGTAAGGGTAGTAGGCCTGGTGGGTCTCATTGGGTTCCTAGTGTATACCTTGACCCTAGATCAGTACGCTGAGCAACAGCTGCCTGGGCCACTGAAAACTACGGGGCACATTATAGCTGGGTTTTGTTCTATTATTGCTGCACATTTGAGCACACAGGAGATGTCCCATCTGCACCTGATGGACTCTGTTGGTGAGATGTATTTACAGTCCTTGACTACAGGAGGGTTCCCTGAGGTGGTGTGTTTCCCTGAGAAGCAAGGAAGTCAGAGAAATGGAGAAACCCAGTCAGGAGATGGCTCTAACTTCCTTCCATCTCTCTGCTCTGGTCTTTCTTGCCTCCTTCTTTGCAATGTGAATCTGAACATCCACTTCCAGCATCTCTTGGTACCCCCAGGGGACCTTGGAAAAGTCTAATACATCTGGCACCTCTCATAGGATGTCACTTCCTGTGGCCATCCCTCTAGCTTCCCTCTTCGCCTCCCTGATTCCTTTCTTTTCCTCCATCCCACAGTTCCAGCTTTTCCCTCCTTTCCTTGGTCAGAGGTTATTTTTTTTAATGTTCTTTTCTTGTTCCTCGCTTCATGCGCTTTGCACTTCTCCAAATCTCTTCAGCTCTTTCACAGCACACCTCGTGCAAGGGGCCCCAAAGCTCCCTATCATCCCTGCCTTCCTCGCTAGTGGATCTTCACCCTTCTTTATCTTGTTTCTATTTCTCTATCTCCCCTATTTGCATTATAAAGTTTATCAATAATGCAAAGAAGGGACAGAGAGGGACAAACTGACAGCATCACCATTCAACCCCGAACTTTTAAAAAATGCCAGTGTGGAACCATTCTGGGGGTACCCTTTTCTTCTCCCTCGTTTCTGTGTCTTGAGGGTACATATTACACACAAGTGGCTATTCTTTAGCTCCAGTAGCATGCTCTATAAACATATGCATCTCTAGGGCTGTCTTCAGAGCTGTGCCAGCCTATTAGTTGAGGAAAGTGTAGAAGGAGTTCAGGCATGGGTGGCGGTGGTAGCTTGCTATTGCAGTGGTTTCTCCCTATCTCCATCTCTTTAAACCCTAAGATGCTCCTTTTGTGGTTATTCAGAGAGCAGACACATGCCTTTTTCTTCGTATTTTTTACCACACTGAAGGGCAATTACCTCATTTAAGAAGTCCTATAGCCTTGTGGAATTACCTGGGAGGGTAAACTACTCTATTTTAGTAAAAGACAGGAAAGGAAGCAAAGCACACTTTGGAGTTAGGTGGCTGTCAGATTAAACCATGAGGCTCCGTAACAAGTATCGAATGCTGTGTAGACAGGGCACATATTTTGTTTGTTTGTTTTGGTTTTTTTTTTTTTTTTGGCCTCTCCTATAGGCCACAGTTATTTATCAACTCAAAGATTCGGAGTCAGAAAGATTCTCAAATGTCATTTCATCCCAACTGGCTTCAACGGTTGGGTCATGTCTTTGAAGGCAGAGCCCTCCTAGCTTTTACTAGACAAGAAGTGATTTCTAATTTCTACTAAACTGTAAGATTTTTTTAAAAATTTCTTCTTAGGTTTTCTTTTGGTTTTCAATATGCGATCTTTTGCAAGCCTGCTTTCTCTACTTTCCAAGGGCAGGGATTATAGGCATGTATGATCATGCCTCTTAGAACGTTGTTCTTTGAGTAAGCAAGTCAGAAGTCTTTCTGTTTGGTCTTTCTTCCTGATGGCCCCATTCTATTTCCTAGCTGACAGAGTAAATATCGTCTGCCTCCCACTTGAGAGCCCCTTGGACATTTGAAAATATTAAACATAGGGTTGGGTCCTTGTCTAAGTAACCCCACTTTCAAAACTTCCCATGAACTGGTTTTACAGTTTTTGGAGACACTGGCTACTGAATCCTCAGCCCACTCCACTTGGCTTGGTGGAGGCTAAAGCAGAATGGTTGCTCCAAGTGCTCCAAGGGAACAATATCCATCCTGCTTCTTCTTCTGCTTCCTTGACTCTCTACCACTGATCTGCCATTTCCTACAAGCTCCACACACCTGATCCCAACACCCTGAGCAATGGTTTGGACTTGGGTGACAACTGGACAGCAGAGTGAGACTCAGTCTCAGCTGAGGACACCTTTGTGTGGAAGGTAACAGTCATGCTTCCGCAGCTTCCTTCCAGTTCCCTGACTTTTCTTCTTTCCTGGATGGGGAGTCCTAGGCAGCTTTGGCTGCTCTCCAGCTTGTGATGTGGCTGAAGATGGGCTTGAACTTCTAAGTCTCCTGCCTTCATTACCTGTGTTCTCGAACTACAGGCCTGCACCACCGTGGCCACCTTTAAACTTCTCTCTGTTTTGTCAGTCACTGAACACTTGCTCAACCCAAGGAGCCAGGACAGATCTAAGCAATAATGACTCTTAGGTCAATAACCGTATCATTAACTGACTTGTTTACCATCACCACCACCATCTTAATTCCATTATGCTTCTTTCGCATGGATTATTGTTGATATTTGAAACTTTATTCCGATAGTGTCCAAGTCGCCATTGGAGAAAAAAAAAAAAACAAATTAGCAATGGTTTTTAAGAAGCGTAACTTATACGGAGTTTGAACTTCCCACATGGTTCAGTCCAGTGCTGCTCCCAGCACGAGAGAAGTAGCGAGATTTAATAAGGATAGGTGTGACTTGGCTTGCGATTTGGCTTACTGAGTAAATAGGAAGTGTTTTAGATTGATTTCTGATTTCTTGACACCTCCCCCCCCCCCGGATAGGTAGAAGGGCACCTACAGCACTGTGACATGTGAAACGGGCTCTGAGCTTTCGGAGATTTCGATTTGATCACGGGCTGGTCCATTAACCACGCTGACCTCAGTTTCTTTATCAGTGAAACAGGGCTCTTCGAATCCCACAACCTAGGTCCCCCCAGCTGGTCTGATGGTGAAACGATTGGATCACAGAGCGTGTGGTTATCTGGTCAGCACCAAATCACTGTCGCCATCCTGTAAGGTCTCCTTATTCGTTTACCCCTCACTGTTACCGGTGAATATAAAGCTTCCCGTTTGTCCTATTGGTTCCCTTCCCGATTTGACACAATGATGAATTGAACTCTTGCCTGCAGCATCAGGCTGGGTCTCTCTCTCTCTCTCTCTCTCTCTCTCTCTCTCTCTCTCTCTCTCTCTCTCTCCATCATGCTCAAGACACTGTCCTCACATGGGAGGGGGGCAATCCCTGTTGCTGAGGAGTTCAGCTCACTGCCTTGTCCCGAGGTTGAACTCAGCCTTTAGTCCCCTCATGTCCAGAGGTGGAACACAGTCTGGATGTCCTGCATGGGAGGGGGTCAGGAAACCCCATCCCGATGTCCCCCCGCCCGTATGGTTTGTCTAGTAGCACTGGAAACATCACTTGCTTGCCTCCTTGCAGAAGAGAATAATCGATTTCTTATTTCCTACCTGCCTGCTGGGTAGGTTAGAATGGATGAGATTGCATCTCTGCGGAGAAAGATGCTATTTGGATATGCAGTCTGTATTCATCACAGTGGACAGCAGAAAGTACCCCGGGTTCCCATGACACCAAAAGGCCAAGAGAGCCCAGGAGACTGGACTGGCATGATTTCCTCAGGCTTCAGAAGCTATGCCTGTCTCTCTAGAACAGCTGTGGGTGAGAGACAGCGTGACTTAGGAATGCATTTTTGCCAGTCAGAGCTGGACACACAGCAGCAGCAGCAAATGATTGCCAATCACCTTGTCCCTTGTACTGTATAAGCCCTGCAAGCTTGTTGACTCCTTAGACTGTTTCCACCTGTACTCCGAGACGTCGGGTCCCAAGAACTCCAGCTTTCCAAAGGATTTCCCCGATTGATTTCAGAGGACCTCCGCCCTGCAATTCACACAGACGCTGTTGCGCACAGAACACAGTGTGTGCTCTCTCCTTTGCTTCACTCCCCTCCTCCCACCCGAAGACAGGATTCCAAACCTAGTACGGGCCTGCAGTGCTCAGCATCTCCCACTAGGGGGAGCCCCTGGAGGGCAGCTGGGGCTGAGCAATTTGGGAAGTGCTGAAGTTTTCTGCTCCTGTCCTGTACTGGTTTTCACTAACCCAACTGTGAGATTTCTTTGTTGCAATGTTGGGGTCTGAGATAGCACTGCTGGAGGCTGCAGGCGAGAAACATAGCTGAGACCATCTTGTATTGTGTGTTGTTATTTACTAGCGCTGTGAACCAAGGAAGTGGAATAACAAAGGGCCCGAAGACTGCACAGCCCCAGCTGGTAGGCCCTGGAGAGAGGCTGGAGTCCTCAGGCAGACAGAAGGAAGACATCTGAGAGGCGACCAGGAGGTGCCTGTGACTGCGGAGTACAGGTGAGAGCCAGAGAGAGGATGACCAGGGGGCTTATGGGTAAAGAGGCACAGAGCCCCTGACCTGGGAAAATGGATAGACCAAAATGAGAGTGGTTAGCAGAGATTAAGCGAGGTGGGGAGAGGAGTGCAGAGGGCCATTGATTGAGAATATTAAAGCAGGAGGAGGGTAACGGGGGGGGGGGTGCTCAAAAGAGGACAAAAGAAAGAAAAAAAGGTGGCCGTCTGAGAGAGGGAGGGCTTGAGAATAGATATCAGTCTGAAGTTGGTTTCAACTCGGCTGCTTAAGAAGCTTGACATGAAAACGGGTGGGTGGGAGACTGGCCCGGGACGTCCAGTTGCATAAGGAAGTTTGGAGTGAGCCGATCTGATCTAGCTGTGTGTCATATAGCCACACCTACTCCCTCTTTGACCTAAACGAGAAGGAATTCTGGCCTGTCGGCTTTTCCAGGTTCTTTCCACTCTGAACCAATGTTTCCCACTTTCCCTTTCTTCCCTTGGATCTTCCACAGCCGTTCTAGGACGCGGAGCAGCCATCAGAAAGTCTGTGTTCTAGTCTAGAACTTGCCTCTTATTGTCGGGATTAGCCTAACCAAGGAAGCCCTGGAGTTTCCCTTTCCTTTGTGTAAAAAAAGGAGATAATAATATATTGCCGACGAGCGCTACAGATTGTTCCCAGGACTGAATAAGGAAGGGGATGTGAAGAAATGCTCTTAATAGATTATAATTGCTAGCTAAATAAAAGTTGGCATTAATAATAATTAATCAGCTAATAGAGCCTCGCTCCTCTCAGCAGGGAGTTTGCTGAGTCCTGGAGAGGATGGCATACATGCAAATCTGCGCTCATATCTTACTCTGCTATTTGTGGACAATTTGTACATGTAACTCCCCAGACTTTTAGAACTAATCTCTTTGATAAACACAACATTTCACACTCTTTGTGTGTGTGTGTGTATGTGTGTGTGTGTGTGTATGTGTGTGTGTGACAGAATCAGGTATTCTTTTTCCAGCCTCAGTCCCATTTTCTATTTCTCATGCAGATAAGTGATTGATGGCGTCCACACGGTGCCTGGGGGTTTTCTGTGTCCTGGACACACGAGTCAATGTCATGTCTTGGGCATATGGTCAGGCTATTTGGAAGAAGCAATGACAGTCTGTGATCATAATAGTCCTGTCACTCTCTCCCCTTTCTAGAATGTTCCAGGTCACTTGTGATTTTTTTTTCTTTTTCCACCAAAATGAAATGTGTCAGACATAAAGTTGGGTCTTTGGCCTGGGCCAGGCTGTTGAGGGTCACCTACGAGAGCCCCCGGATTCTTTCTCCTTCCTCTCAGCTTTAAGTGGCAGTGTGGCCGGTGGGGAGAGCAGTGTAGGCCATTTGTAAGGTGCTTGACAGCTCTCCTTCATCTGTCACTTGGAGTGCTCACAGATCTTCCTCCTTGCCTCTAAATGTACGTTTGAAGAGCGCCATCGACCTGCAGACGTCAACAGTTTGTGAAGTGGCTAGCACCATACTATCGTCATGACCCCATTGGGTCTCTTCTAGTGCTTGTCCCAAATTTCAAAATTATTTTAAACTTTTGTTCCAGCTGCTAACAAAAGGAAGCTACTCCTCCTCTCCTTCACCAATCACAAAAATGCAAAGTTTAAGTCACACACTACTCACCTGCCGAAAGTCAAAATCCTAGCCACATGTACAATATGTAGAAGGCTGTACTTTTCTAAAATTACCAAGTACAGACGCTTGCACACACACATGAATATGTACCCACATGTGCATGCATTTGTATGTATGTGTGTGTGCATACTTTCCTTCCCATTTCAAACAAATTCATTCTGCATGTTAATCTATATATAAATGTTCACATAGTACACTTAAAGGGCAGATTTAATGGAGAGTAAGAATATGGGTTTCTCTCTCAGGATTTCAGCTGTTTTAGAATATAGAAGTGACCACAATTCACATGGCTCAAAAAATTATGGATCAATTTCTGCTCCGTCCATAGCAATGGCTATCAATATGCTGCATCTTCTAGACAAACTGTCAGCAGTTAGCAGTTTTGGATATTTTTAAATGAGTTTTTTTTTTAAAAATACATTTGCAAAGTCAATTATTTCGAATCTCATCTGAGGCAATTAAAAAACATCCTGACATTTAAGGTGATATTTTTTCCCAAGTAAAATAATTATAAATAATTCTAATTATGAACAAATCATTTAGTTACTCTCAGTCTGGTTCAACCTTTAGGTTAATAAACCAATCCATTAAAATTCATCTTGCTCAAAGGACCAATTTGTTTAAAAAAATGTAGTGACCTTTTTACCACAAGTGTGATTGATATTTTCTTTAACAGTATCAGAGCTGTCTTTCCTAGAGAAGAGTGTGGTCCAGAGGCAGGTATGGAAAATTTGGATTGTTTTATGCCTCTCCTGATGGTGGTGAGGGTACTAGACAGAGCTGAAACCCTCATTTCAAATGGTACCTTCAGGAGACATCTGGAAGTCTGACAAAGTTCACCAGTTTCATTCCTTATGCTGGGAAACAAGCTTAGATAGTTCTTTCTACTTCTGGTGTTTCGTTCTTACCAAACATGCCAGGCATGTGTGTGGATGACCCGCAGGCCAAAGCTAGCCAACCATGGTTTTCACAAAGTATCCCTGGAGTAAAATCCCATCTGTGGACATGTTGTCCAAAAATACATTTTTAGAGAGGCGACTTTGAGAAGTTGTGACAGAGTCAGTGTATCCTGAAGAACTGAAAATTCTTATTACTGGGCCTCTAAAGATGCACACAAGGCCCAAGGTAGAAAAATGAGGGGAAAATGGGCATTTTTGAATGTGTAGCTAGCTAGCTACAACTCATATCTGGACAGCAGTTTAGAATTTACTAAAGTCTACATGGTCCTATTATAGCAGGTATTCTGTGGCTCTCTTAGTTGAGACAGAAATGGCAAATTTGTCTATGGCGGTGCTGTCATTAGGTGGTACAGGTGGGGGCTGGCAGCCACCAGGGAGGCAGGGAAGGAGGGCCACCGAGGCTTCCCCTAGAGGTTGTCACTGCCAAAAGACACTGGATGGAGAGAATTCTTGACGCTCTGTTCCTGCCATATCTGTCCTTGGCTTGGGTGAACCTCGGCTTATCTTCTCTGTCCCCATTCTCAGGACCAGTGCTGAGTGAGTAAGCAGAATGGGAAGAAAGCATCGTGCTTTGTAATCAAACAAAGCGGGGCTTTATTGCATCGATTCTCACGTCTCCATCTGCCCAGAGATGGGCCTGGTAGCTCAGATACCCCGCCACAGAAACTAACAAGGAAGTCTTTGTTTGCAGCACATACTATCTTTTAAAAAGTTTTCTTTTTAAAACAGAAGATCCACTTTTAATTACATTTCTTTTTTCTTAATTCAAGTTAATATCAAAATTATATCTTTCCCTGCTGAGCTTATGACATCTGCTAGCAAAGTAGGCCACAGGGAGGCGGGTCTTGGGAGGAAGGAAGCCCGGGATGATAAAACAAGACAATGGCTGTTTTCAGAGACCGGAGTTTTTCTTAATCTTGCATTTTCAGGAAAGGAGGTAAAGAATGAAAGGAGAAACCTCCACATTGAGCCTTCCTTGATGACTCTGAGGGAATAGATTCAATTTTCCGTTCAACTAAATTTTATATTGACTCTTCATTTTACTTCACACGGCTAGTTGAAAGATGTTTGCACTGACCAAGATTCTAACATCGCCAAACAAAGCCTTACTAGAGAGCCAAACAAAGTAGCGATCATGTGTCTGTCATACACTTTAGAGAGCTCAAATGGGAGCAGCCTCCAAGGGGAAGTTATTTTTCCCTGTGGGACAAGCACGGCAGACAGGGTAGAGGAAGTACTATTTGGAGAGAGTTGAAAAAGTTCAGATTTTGGACAGCTAGAGATTGGAGGAGAAAGCAATGCCAGAGGCACAGACAGAACAGAGTCACAGAGTGAAGGGAAACATTGAGAAATGTCGTCCATGGTGCTGGTAAATGGAAGCTTATGGTATTGGAGGAAGAGAACGTAAGTGAAGTAGATCAAGGCCAGGTTCTAGAAGACCTTGGAAATTAGGTTAAAAAGTTAGGTCTTGGGGCTGGGGAGATGGCTTAGTGGTTAGGAGCACTTTCTGCTATTGCTAAGGACCTGGGTTCAGTTCCTAGCACCCACAGAGTGACCCATAGCCATCTATAACTCCAGTCCCAGAAGATCCAATGCCCCTTTCTTGTCTCTTGGGTACCAGGCATGCAAAGGAACACATGCACACTTGTAGGTAAACATTTATACATATAAAAAAATTTAAGAATTAAAGGAAGCTAGATATTACACTAGAGAGATGGCTCAGATGATAAACTTGCTGTACAAGCATGAGTAATGGGGTTCAATCCTCGGCACCCACAGAAAAATTCTGAGTACAGCAGTACATAGCTGCAATTCTAGCACAAGGGAGGTAGAGACAAGAGATCACTGAGGCTCATTGACCAGCCAGTCGAGCTGGATTGGTGTGCTCCAGCTTTAGTGAAAGACCCTGTCCAAAAAAATAAATAAATAAAATAAGAATAGAGAGCAATTGGGGATGGCACCCAGTGTTGACCTCTGGCCTCAAAGAAATGCACACACATACAATTAATTTTTTTTTCTGTAGATCAGTAGTTCTCAACCCTTTCACAGGGGTCACCTAAGATTATCCTGCATGTCAGATATTTACATTAAGATTTATAAAGCAGTAGTAAAATTACAGTTGTGAAGTATCACTGAAAATGATTTTATGGTTGGCGGTCAGCACAACATCAAGAACTGCTTTAAAAGGTCGCAGCATTAGGGAGGTTGAGAACCACTGCTGTAGATGGGAAGGCCCACTGACTGTGTGCAGGAGAGTGACTTGACCTTTGCTCTAAAGGAGAGCATCACAGTCAGAACCTGGAGGCAGACCACCAGATAGAGACAAGTTGAGAAAGAGAGGCCGTCACCTCATGTTCTCCAAGCAA